AAACCAAATAACATGTACATATACAATGCCTTAGTTTTTGAAACTCAAGATATTCGTAGTGTATAAAATGTAAGCTAAGTTAAAAGTCAAATCAAATGGAACTTAAGCATACAAAAAATGTTTTTTTCTAGAATTTTGCTATCCTCAATGACGAATATGATGAAAAATGTAATTTCTCGTCCTACCTTTAGTCAATTTAGCAATGATAAGTCCAGAATGACGAACCAACCATTTTGAAATTGATTTTAATAAAATTGCATAAATTTAAGTGTACCTTGTCGATTGACGTGTATTTTTAGGTAGGTGATACTTATACGAATATTGCGTATTTCTTTTACATGAAATAAAAAAAATTAAAAATATATGTGCGCTGAGAGACGTAAAAAAACGTAAAATCCAAGTATTGCTATAACATAATTAAAGGCCCACGTACCCAGAGTGCTTCCGCGCGTTTTACGGAAAAACAAATTACATGGCGCTGAAAAAACACGACCAATTTAATGTACTGTTATTTCCTTTTATCCCAACGTAGGGGAGTCGAGTGGTACTGTAATGCAATTTAATTTGCGAAATTTAATAAATATTTTAAAAATTCCTTATTCTTGCTTGGAATTTTTCGCAGATACTTGCTGAATTATAAATTTACAATACCTAAATGAGAGCAAGAAAACCAGGTTATTCTTGTATAAATAAGCGTATTTACATGATTATTAAACTGTAAGAGGCGTGTCTTTTGCAATTTTCTAACTTCGAATTTTACGGTTCGCAAAAACCACGCACTTGATATAAATTAAACCTACGATAATTATGATGAAAACTTCATATAAGAATCCGCGTTATTTACTAGCCATCTTCAATTTGTACAATATCTCCTTCATACATAATAAGCACAAGCAAAATAACATTGAAACTCATTTACAAGCGCAGTTCAATTTGACGCAGAGGAAAATTAACTTGCTTAGCGCCGTTATATATATTCATACGTTCGAGAATAATTAAGAGGGAACCAGATGAGACTTTGATGTTAGCTAATTTTACGATTCCTCGACAGGTGAATTATATTCACAAACCATTTCCTTAGAATTATGTTAAAATTCAAAGAAGCCAGACTTATAAGGAGTCTTAATAAACATCATTAAAATTGTTTAAGTCAACGTTCAGAAATATTTTTATTACCTAACAATTAACATAAATTGGAAGGAACTTTTTCGAACTTTCTTCTATTATAAGTGCTTCCCCACGTTTTATTCCCTTTCCAACTAACAATAATTTATTGCGAGCACATTTATGTCTCCCCCAGTTAATAGGTCAAGCGAAGTTCAGGAAATATACTACTTTTGATTATTATTTTTGTATAAATCGTTGCTGTCACGATCAATTCCATTAATTATAATTTGGATTGAACGAAGGACGTGATAGCGAACCCTTTATAACTAAGTGGCTGTTCTGATAAGGGTTTTAATTAATTTCCTAAAGTTCGTACTTTTAATGTCCAGTCAGCGTCATATAGATCGTCACAGACAAGATATGCAAATATATAGGTACACCAAAAGTATTCAATTATATCGGTACAACAAAAGTCCTCAAATTGATAGATACATTCACCCTGCTCAAATACATCGGTACATACACAGCGTCAAATATATGAGTACATGCAAGATGCTCATAAATATCGTAGCAGCCACAGCGTCATAAGTAACGAAGCAGTCAAGGTGCGCAAAAATATCGGTACATTTGACAAAATTGAACTCTATCTCTATATACTTGTGATACAATTTGGAATAAACTACTTCTGTTACATTCATTTGACACTTTGCATCAAACCATTTTTCAAAATTTAGTAAAAGTGTTCGACGCGGATGACAGATATTAGGTAGATAAAACCAACATCTAATTTAAGTTTGTCATCATATATGCTAGTTTGGTCTCGTGGCCTTACCGTTCGCCGCCGTTGGTACGTAAGGTCGGCGGTTCAAATCCCAAGCCACTGTTTTTTTTTTGATGTTTAAACTTTTTAATTTTAATATCGAAGCACATGTAATAAAACTCTATCGCCGAAGTTATTAGGTACTTTTTGATATTGCCTTGGACTAATGAGTTTGACCGTTAAAGTACTTTTCTATTTCAAACAAAAATGAAGGAGATAAAGCGATGCTATTGGCATGTAATTTGTTTATTACTCATGTTTTAAACTTGTACCGGTAAAAATAACACTTTTACTTTTACCTTTTACTGATACTGATTATATTTAAGAAACAAAGAAAAAAAAACTGAATGTCAATATCCAAACTACATCAAATTTTTGGTCGATTGCAATAAACATTCCAGTGTGCGTGGGCGCGCACACATATGTAAATAACACTTGTACGTATAATTTCCGCGCGTACCATTCTTAAAACCCGCAAAGACAATCCACGCTCCGCCCACTCACTTTCCCCCGATGGTCTGACCTTATTGTTGTTAACTTTATTTAAATTTCTTTCTACCCGACAGCGAAAATTATAAAAAAAAATTGTCGAGCAAAATTTTACATTCCCAAATTTTTACTGGTTATGAAAAAATAACCCCGTGATCGATAAAATGAAAAAAAAGTAGCCTGAGATTCGAACCGGTAAACTTACATATTACGGCAAACATACTAGAATACTGCGCCAAACTAGTATATATTGTGACAAGGCAAAATTTGATATTAGTTATTACGTATCTGTCATATTCGGCGTGACAAACTTTTATAATATATTTAAGCGTTATGACAGGAGAAGAAAAATATTGGGTTGCCCAGTAAGTTCGTGCCGCTTTATAAGGAAAATTGAAACCCTGTTCTCTTAAATTTTTGGAAATGTTTTTAAATTATATTGGTACGACTCTATACCTAAAACGTCTTTTATTATTGGATAAAATTTTAAAAATTAGTTTTTATCTCAACCAATGAAATGAAATTATTCACAATATAGAAATTTTTGTGACGTTTGATAATGGTGGAAATCCGAAAATGAATCCACTTCAGCTACAGTCTATTGTAAGCTTTATATCGAAAATCAGAACGAACTTTCCGGACAACCTATAATGTTAATACAAAGTGTCAAATGAATGTAACAGAAGTAGTTTATTCCATATTGTATCACAAGTATATAGAGATAGAGTTCAATTTTGTCAAATGTACCGATATTTTTGCGCACCTTGACTGCTTCGTTACTTATGACGCTGTGGCTGCTACGATATTTATGAGCATCTTGCATGTACTCATATATTTAAGCGTTAAGCATTACAGCTTGGCGAGATAAAATTCTTTGTGAAATCTTTTGTATGAAAAATAAATAAATAAATAAAAAAAAAAAAAAAAAAAAAAAAAATTGACGCTGTGTATGTACCGATGTATTTGAGCAGGGTGAATGTATCTATTATTTTGAGGACTTTTGTTGTACCGATATAATTGAATACTTTTGGTGTACCTATATATTTGCATATCTTGTCTGTGACGATCTATATGACGCTGACTGTCCGTTATAATTAAATTGATAAGATTGTAACATATTTATATCTCATAATCGCCCACTTGATTAAAAAGAGAAACTCAATCTCAACTTATCACTATAAATTAACCGTCTTTTCACATGTTTTCAACAAAAAACGGAACCCAACGTTAAGTTCTAGAAAGATATTTAATTCATTACAAAAACAAATATTTTCTAGTATAAGCATGGCTAGGTGTATCATACCTAGGAATACAATGACAAATAGATAAGATGCATCTATTCAATTATTTCTTCCATTAAGTATGTATTATACCAGCGGACGTCTGTAACTTCGTCAGCGTAGAATTAATAAAAGTAAATCTTTAACAAGCCCGCGTGCATTAGCTATTTTTCCCATCCAAGTCTCGTTAGAACCAGTCCAGAACATTCCGGAGATTATCAGGAACAAACGAGGTCTTACGGACAGACATACAGACAATAATTTGTTTTTCTTTGTCAGCTACGCAAATACATCATGTTTACGATTTTTTTTCAATATCACATACATATAATCCTATTTAGTAATATGTAAGGATGTCTTCTCATTACCAAGCTATACTTTGTTATAACTTATCTTCGTTCAATATAATTAGGTTTAAACTAAGAGCACTTTGTTATAAACAAAGACGAATTGTTAAATTAAATATTTTTCCAAATTACTATTGTAAAGCACAACAATTTACTTCTGAGCATTCTTACAGTACAATCATTACAAAATTAATTCAACCACACTCATTCCATCAACGAGATTGGATTGCCTTTTTAAGTCTTCAATTGTAGAGACAATGCGACGATTGGGGATAAGCTAGGGTACTTTTTATGGTCTGAATCTCTCTAATATTCTTTCATTAAATCCCCGCTGAACGCCGAACGCATTGTTTTTGCATTCATAGGAACATCACAAAATATTTTTGTATATCCTTCTAATTTGTTTTGCAGCCATCTGTTGAGACGGTGCAAAATTATTGCTTTTAAACGAGAACACTGAACATCAATATTGCTAACAGATGTGGAATCACGTCCGTCAACGAAAATTGTTTACTGATCGGCTGCTAGCGTTTCGAAATGACCGTGCCAAATGAGTACCAGGAAATTGATTTTATCATTCTAACGGTAAATGTCTCAATAATAATAGAGCTACAATCGGTAGTATTAGGGTACGAAGTGTTCAAATTGGGGTATTACATTGTGTATATTCACATCCTATACATACCCTGGTGTTCGGTTTATTTCAAGTGCACCATCGTAACTCTTTGTTAGACGTGAACGAGGATTATACGATAGAGGATGGTTAGGATCTGTCTAATAATGAGTGTAAGACAACGTCGTGCTATGTTTAGTGTGTAATGGCTTAGGGTATGGATTTTCACAGTCAATCAAGTAGTATCTCGGTCGCTATAATACCGCGGTGTTGATTGCGTCGCGACGGCGGCGATGAGGGTGTGCGTTGACTGGTGTCTGAGCGTCGTGTTATGTTGGTTGCAGTGAGTGTAAGCGTGGCGGCGACCGGCTGGCGACGCCGCGGATGTCGCTGCTCGGCAAGCCGCTCAGTTACCGCGCCACGCGACGCGACGCGCGCTACCGACGCCTGCAATCCAAGTTCTACAACTTCCTTGAACGCCCGAGGGGAGTCAAAGCCGTCCTCTATCATATGATTGTGTAAGTTCTTACACCATTTTACCTTTACCGATCATGAAGAAAATGTACTTCAAGACTGACATTCTTTGAGTCATTGACTAACAAATTGTTGTAACACAACTTACGCTTCTCTATCATTATAAAAAATCAGTTGAAATACTAAAAACATGTAAGCTTATATGTGTACATAAAACGTTCGTATGCGCAGTAAATCTGTTTAAAAAATTACTTTACTTGTAATAGAATACTTAGAACAAACAACTTCTTATGATAAAGCATTAAAGGTGAGACAATTTTTTTAAGACACCAACCCTCGCGTTCAGGAAACATTTCTATGAACACATATCAATCTTATAAAAGCAAATTTACTCAATATTGTTTGCAAAACGACATTGTTTTTACATGACGTCATAAGATCATAGGAATTAGTTATTGGTGTGCGTTATCCAAATTAATTTACTAAGCTAAAACAAATACGAATGAAATCGACTGGCGAAATAACATATTAAGTCAACATCTAATATGTGTGTACCAATATGTGTCAAACGTTAGTTAAAGAGAATCATTAACGTAATTTTGATTTATTTTCTTCTCTTACATTAAAGTAAAATACCTATTTTATATATAAAATCATTAATTATATTTTATTCAAATAATAAATGAATAAAAATTGACTCTATTTCTATACAGTCAGTCAACGCAATTGACACTAACATACCAAAGCTTTTTTTATATGGAAATACGTTTATACCAGACATTGACTAAATAACTTGACGGTAAACAATGTCGGAATCAGACGGATATAATAACGTTCTAAAGTCTCCTTTACCGAATGTACATATGTACGTGATCCCTAAATCTTTACTCGTCGGCGAGTTCTTCGTTAAAGCTCTTTTTCAAAAGAAAAATCATTTCGTTTTTATCGAGACTTCGTAAACACAATGGTTTGAACGTGGGTGGCAATGTTATGAGAGGCCGGCCAAGAAAAGTTAAACAGATTATCCGTCGAAAGGAAATTAGTACTAATAATTTTGAAATCAGAAAACTAACGATATTTATGTTACATATTATATATTTTTGAGTTTAACATATTGAAAAGTATTCGGATTGTGTTTGTGTAAAATATAAAAATACGTATATCTTTGAAGTGGCTGTGAAATCAAAAACACTGATTAAATATAACTTTCAATGCCTTTTTTATCTTTTCCCTGTTTTGAGATCACTAGAGATTATTCCTGAAAAAGTTTAAAAGTTTTCTTGTTAGAATAGGCGACCACTTTCTATACAATAATTGGATCACAAAACTGAGTTAACTTTTTTATAGAATAAATTGTCTTGACACTTATTACCTCTGTTTATATTGTTCGCCATTGTGCGCCAAAAATAATGACCTTATGTAGTTCCAATATATCATTGTATCCTTTAAAACAAAAACAAATAAGATTGAGTATGGTCTGAAACTACACTAAAATATCCTTTTGAGATATTTTAACCTTATGTTGATGAATGATGAAATATTAAATTCAATATATTTGTTGCTGAAACTTTATGAAGTTATTGGATTCAGCAGCTACAAATTCTCGACGAAGGAATTTCGTTCTCACAAGTCATCAGTACAAAGTATAAATTAATCGCTATTGTGTCATACATATATCGATGTGGATATACGACAATTTATAATTATATATATTATTGCGACCTATTATAACTTCTTTTGCCGTATTATAATTGACTACTAATTTTGTCAATAATTACAACCATGAGATAACTTAAATCATACAATAATATAGAAAAAACTATAGTTTACATTTATAGTTAATTATTTAAATAGCTTTATATGTATTTAGGTTCCTGATGGTGTTTATGTGTCTCTCGCTGTCGGTGTTCTCTACGATCGAGGAGTACGAAGCTAAAGCAGGCATCGTCCTGTTCTACATGGAGACTGTAGTTGTCGTCTGGTTCGCCATTGAATTTATTTTAAGGTAAACGATTCATTTATTACTTTATTTTAATACAAAATTAAGGTCGCAAAAGAGAGAAAGAGAGTTCAGCCGATGACGCACTTAAGTCCTTTATTTTCTCACAACCAATGATACATTTCTTTTACTTAGAATGTCACGATGTAGCGAGATATATAAGTAAAAATTAACGTGCTGTTTATTGATTACATTTTACTATATAACAGTATAATACATACACATTAAACTAAATTTTCTTTTTTTCTGCTATAACATTAACTCAATGTGCAAAGGAAATGACAGAGTATTATCCCATGAGATTTGATGTTTGAACAAACGTTTCATTATTAATATTTCCAAAAGTAAAATTGACAGTAAAATATTCAAGTACATTTACGCGCGAGCTATCTTAATTAGCAAAGAGTTGGTTTAAACAACGTCAAGACGAGATGACGTAATTGTGTGGGGACGCTACGACCGCTCCCCATCCTCCCCTCCAAGAAATTCATTGCCTACTACAGATGGATCGCGAAGCATTCTTCTACATTAAGTTTGTATTTTTGTCCTACTTTTGATACGAAAATGTCACGAGCCAACGGAGTTATACGAAGAACTTGTAGACCGTGTTTGCATAAAGGCCGGTCCCTGACATATACAATTTAATTATGCACACCACAAGTTGGCGTGTTTAGTACGTGTAAACTTGTAATTCACGAGGGAGATGAGCAAAGGAACGACACAACTTTAATAAGGTGCCTATTCTCTAAAGTACCTTGTACTTACAAATTAGATGTCATCAATAATTACTGCAATTAGATTGTATAATAAATTTATTTCTCAATAGGCTCTGGTCATCAGGATGCAGGTCCCGATATCAAGGATCAATAGGACGACTAAAGTTCTTAAAGCGGCCTTTTTGTATAATAGGTATGTAATAAATTCATAATAATCATAAAATTTGATACAGCAATCATATAAAATAAATATTTCTGCTGAATACACACAATAATTTTGTTGTGTAAACGAAAAACTGGGAGCCAGGGGTAAAATAAATAATATCAACTTTTTTATTGCTTTTTATGCGAAACATTTCCGACGTAGTCACGTTCCGTCTATAAAGCGTGACGAAGTGACCCTATTTCAGGTGCGACCAATCTGACCTTCACATTTCGTCGTCCCCTCTAACAGCAGTGCCGTGCGACCGCGGTTGCGTTCTCTGGGGACTCCCGAGACCGCACTAGCCGGCGAACATTGCCACATGTTTTACTATTCGCCTTTATTACCTACATACATGTGTCTGTTTTAGATATTAATGCTGGCACTATTCTGTAGTGTTTTATTCAAATAAAAATTACAAGCCCGAAATAGATGGGATCTAAATAAGTAAAACTTACCAGAAACATTTTCTATTTTTAAAATCATTTACATTATAATTCTAGACTTATTTGATACGTCTCAATTATCTATCTTTTAAACCCGTTTGTCTATGATAGATGATAATTTCACATATCAATTTATGCCCGGCCAAAATTTCAGTTATTTTACAAAATAAGATTCATCTAATATTTCCTGTTACTCCTGAACAATAATCTTAATAACTGTAAAGGTACAATGGGCTAGGCAAAAATAGGCAATATAAATATCAAACACTACTAGTGATATTGTTATACCGTTATCGAAATTCTTTATCTCACTTGTCAGTTGTAGAAAGTTTTATATAGTCTTAAAACTTTTATCGAAAAGAACTTCGCCTCGTTTTTGCTAAGAAACAAACATCGTAAACATGATTTTATTACTGTGCGTATCTATCGGTCTTCTGTAATACAGTGTCACATGCAAAAATTAAGTTAAACGTTATTTGTTAGATGTAACAACAATAATGGCATCGTTGGTGGTGCTGGGCATGGGATCTTCGGGGCAGGTGTTCGCGGCGTCGGCTCTGCGGGGGTTGCGGTTTTTCCAAATACTTCGCATGGTGCGGATGGACCGGCGCGGTGGCACGTGGAAACTGCTCGGCTCCGTAGTGTATGCACATCGTCAGGTAAATACATTCATGAACGACGCCAATGAAACGGAAATTTCTTTTAATAGTACCCAATACGAACACGTGTTCCTCAATGAAAGAGTAACGTAAATCCTCTATAATTAGATGCTATTTTTATATCGAATAATAATGAATGAGTGTTTCACCATTGTTTGGACATAATGAACGTTTATCAAGGCACGTTTGTGAACACGGGCATTGTTTTGACTCATTTACGCTAAAACAGATGTGTTGGTAACGCTTCAAATAGATTTTAAAAATTAAGAGGAAATACGGCCGCGGACAGGTTAATTATCGAAATTGAAACAACTTATCCGAACTTATGGTCAGTTAGGTTACATTAAACAGGCGCGCGGTGAGGAATGATTTATCAAATGGGCGTATTATGTAGGTGACCGTTTTGTATAACTCAATAACATGGCTCGCCGGGATAATGGTATCGAGTTGTACCAACTCAGACTAGTTAAGTATATGGCTATTTATAATAAAAATTGAACAGCTATAGCGATGACATTGCCAAATGTGGAATAATAACATGCTATAGAACTGCCGTCGATTGAAGTTTGTGTTGCGTTTGTGTAGGCGTGATGAGAAAGCGGAGCGGAACTGGTGGCAATTTCCTTCGTCTGCCAAATAGGTTGGTGTTACACAAAACAAGGCGAGACGCAATATCCACTCACAATTGGTTAAGGTTAAAGTTGCATGATCACATTCCTGAGCAAATAAGACGGGCGCGATCCGCATTTCGCGCCCTTCCTGCAATATTGACTCGGCAAACAGGCTCCAGTTTCCAATGATCCCTTAAGAATAGGGATGAAAGAATCGGGAAAATCAAATAACCGGTACATTTTTTTATATTTTAGTAGGATGTTACGTTTAAATTAGTTTGATTTTATCTTGACCATAGCTAAAATTGGAATTAGGGAACTTGTTTGAGGAATTACTTGTATTATTATAATATTTCATAAACTTTTTCTTCGTTATACGAGCAGTCTTCAAAAGTTCGGAGATCAATGATCTGTGATATCCAATTTCGAAAGTGTCCATCCAGTAATAAATCATGTGTAAGCTTTTTCCTGACCGTGAGCCGTGAGGGAGATTGGACACGAAATATATTTATTTATTGGTTCCTTCCGCGTCTGCACTATTGTTCTTATTATTTCACTTTTCCCCTTGAAGTTTTTCTTTAAACATATATATTATACTTATTTATCATGACTTAAGAATGGCGGTAATGAATAAAATTTAGCATATAGATAATAGTTTTATATGTCCAACTTAACATTACTGGTACTCTGTTAGATAAAAAAAACTCGGCAAATTAATCATAATGTCAATATGGTTAAGTCAACTAATCTTCAAAAAAAACTAAAGTCATTAACTTGTTTCAGGAATTAATAACAACTTTGTATATAGGCTTCCTCGGCCTTATATTCGCATCATTTTTAGTTTATTTAGCAGAAAAAGACGTCGCCGACACAAAATTTAAAAACTTTGCTGAAGCTTTATGGTGGGGTGTTGTAAGTATATTTTAATATTTATTGCTTAAATGTCAAATTACTTAATGTTTCCTAAAAGTTTTTCTTATATAATTCTTTAAAGTAATATAGTACAAACTTCGATTAAAGTAAATCAATTTGTAAATGTGTATAGTAAAATTAAGGGTAACCTTGAATTGCCTCAGATCACGCTGTGCACGGTCGGGTACGGCGACATGGTGCCTCAGACTTGGCAGGGGAAATTCATCGCCTCCTTCTGCGCGCTATTAGGGATATCGTTCTTCGCTCTACCCGCTGTGAGAATCACTTACTTAAATCTTTATTACGTCGTAATTGCGGCAAACAAAATAAACGCCAAATAAATGTTCGTTACACTGCAGGGTATATTAGGATCTGGTTTCGCGTTAAAAGTGCAGCAGCAACAGAGACAGAAGCACATGATCCGGCGCCGGCAGCCCGCCGCCACGCTTATACAGGCGCTGTGGCGGTGCTACGCCGCTGACGAGCACTCCATGAGCGTTGCCACCTGGAAGATACACCAGATACCACTGCCGAGCCCACAGACTAGGTGACTATAGTGCTTAAAATATTTCATGGTGAAACACAGGTTATGTCCCATTTAATGATTATTTTAAAGTCTACTAATACATAAAATCCTTAAAACTTTTAACTAAAAAAAATCATAGGCTCGGACCCACCTGATGGTGATGAATAATGATAGTTTAACTAATTACATAAAACATTTTTTTTTCTTGTACCGTAGTAGAATAGAAAAATGTAAGTAAGTACTCTTGTCGCAATCCAAAGTGGAAAACGAATGACGAGTGTGTATGTGTGACAGTCGGGTTATGAGCGCGTCATTCAAGAACAATGCGTCGTTTGTGTCGCGGCTGCCGACGATCCGGCGGCACAAGAGCACATCGTTGCACTCGCCTGCTCCCGCCCCCGCGCCCCACGCCAAGCATCGCTACGACGTCAACGCCAGCGCTGAAAATCTCGGTGAGTTACACACGGCTCATGCATTGTTAAACTACAACAAAATGAAATGCATCAACACGAGACTAACCAACCACGACCGACAACAATAGGTACGTCACAAAACAAACTTATTTATGTTGTATCGCAATAGAGAGTATTTTTTCATTCATCAAGAATAACACGAGTCCAAGTTTTGACAAAAATTCGCGATGTTTATAGAAATAGATTGTTTGTAGTTGGCTTTAAATGTTTTGTGTATTGGTTGTTATTAGGTATGTATTTCACATAAAATGTAATTTTATTATAGGTACGTCATATAAATCAAAAATTATGAACACTTGAAATTTGACTTCTTAACACAGATATATCCTCAAAACAAAAGATAAGAAACGCTACGCAAACTTCGAGCAATTGGACAAGCATCTTTAGTTAAAACAACAACAGGCCCTGTCCTGATACTAACATAGATTAAAACAATGCAAATAAATAACAGATTTTTTTTAAATACCGCCATCGCGAGACAAAGTACGATCACTCAAAGCACATAATTTTGAGTTAATGAACAAACACAAAAGCGACAACAGCAGACAGAGACATAGACGAAGGCGCGGCGCGCGTCGAGCCACACACACAACACTGCGTTGTGAAATGTGAATGGAGGTGATATGATATTGCACTGTTTCGTAGATAATCGTACGTCGGGCGGGGACCATGCGTGTTGTCTACTCCATTGTTGGAAAAGCTGCTTTCAAGGTTCTTTTCTTCATTTTTAAACGGCACTATGGCATGACAGTTACAGTCGATAAACTTTGCTGCGTTTCTTATTAATTCTTAATTAGTGAGTACTTTCCAGAAAATGTGAATACACAATAAGCGAATATGTCGACGTGCCATCGACCGGACTGATATCCGACCTCCGGCGATAGTGGCCACGTCTTTAGCTCCAGTCACGATTGCTGATATCTACTTACCTTCTACTTCCTTCTTTATTTCACTTTATTAAAGAAAGAGATGCACCCGCCTAGTTGAAATACCGCTTAGAAACAACTTCAAATACTGCAACCAGAAGCTTCAAGTCTCGAGTGAAACAATGGCTTCCAAGTTAAATGCTTCGCGTAAGAGCTAAGGTAGAGATAAATGAAAACATTGATTCTGAGGAATGAAAGAATTCATTCGGTGCAATTAGAGTGCGGTTTATACGATCGACTTCCAGTTTATAAAACCGACTAGTGTTGTTCATATTATTGGAATGGCTTTGTTTAAAGCTTGTATTTTGGTTCGGTTGTGTTATGTCAACTGAACGGTAACTACGATATTTACACTGCTTTGCAATTAATTATGCATGCCAGATAGCTAATAGGATTTTTGTAAAATAATGGACTCGTTCCAGATATATAGGTAGCTCATTTATACTTAGGTTTATTTTAGGTTTATAAAGTAGTATGTATTTTATATGAAATATTTATATTATACAGATCCACTAGCATAAATATTTTTAAAATTAATCATTAATGTCCGCCTGTCCTCGCTTTGTCATTCCCCTTAATTCATCTCAAGTTTTTTGATATGCGTATGATATATTTTTAAACGCTTTTGAAATATGAAACTAAAGGACAAGATTATATTGTTTTGTAAGTATGTTATCTATAAGGATTTTTATATTAGATACCATTTGGTAAGCGTTTTAAACATGTTAAGTTCACTATTGACTTGTCATTTGCGATTTTTTAGAAAATTAAATTCATAGACCTATTACTATGAGAATATATTCGTCTATACTTATTGTATTGAAATTTATTAAAAGTTGTATGCGGTAAAAAAATTCGCAGACGTTCGCTGACTTTTCTGAGTTTATATAATTTGATTTTAAAAACTTCTCTACAGGCAAAAAAATTTGCTGCGAAAAAAATATCTTCGTAATTATACCCTACATAAAATACTACAAAAACGTTTACGACTATAATTAAAACTCATTGTCATAAATTAATAGCAATAATAAAAAAGTTAAACTTACCTATCGCCTACTTATAGTTAGGGATACTACTGATAAGCAAAACAAATATTTAACCGTTTTTCTAAAATTCATTAGGGCAAAGTATTTTGTGATAAACTCGACTTTATAATCTGCAATGTCATAAATACGTATTGTTCTTTGTAGGCCAATCTTTATTGCCGTCACATAAAACATTTACGATTGCTTACAACCTCTTATGTCTGTCTTTAACATAGATGGAGATGTCATGCAAAGTAATTTATCAATTTGTGCAACTAGTTCTAGCTCTGATTTACTAATATATTACTTGTATTTGACTATCTTCCTCGCAAACTACTGATACTGTTTAATCATTCAATTTTCATGCATCAGGTTTTTTGTATTAAGCTTCAACCAGACAGTATTAACGCATCCCTTATTTTTGTTTCCGAGGTCGGAACAAAACACTATTAACGAATCTTATACCAATAAATATGTGCGGAAGCTGTCAATTAAATGTCTATCCATCAACGCTTCCGTCCACTTCTACGAAACAAAGCTTTTGTTTGATTGTTATGATGATGAAACGCAACATTTTTGTGACTATTCGAACATTTTTAATGATACTAAAATTATCTCTTTAATCTGTACATGGTAACATCTGTAAAAATATCAATGGCTTAACAAAAATCGAAAAAAAATACTAAATCATTCAATGATATATTTAAATACTTTTTACCAAGTATTAACTTAGGGATCAGAATTAGATGACGTGTCATGATTTATTTTCAATGTAAGCGACAAACGATGAACTTTAAGAATCTCACGTTCACATAATTTTAAGCTCATGTAGCACACTAACCGCAGTGCAAGAGCACGTCAGACTACGCTTTGCAAAATAGCACCAAGCGCTCTCGTTACGAGAGCCTGCTTGTGGCTTGTCGTGCTAAAGATACGCTATTTTCTGATATTTTGTTCTACTACTGTAACACGAAGAATTGTCTTTCTTTTGCAATGTTTGTTTCAGTTATATTTTGAAATACATGATTAGGTAATTGTAACGAAATAAGGAAAAAAATCATTAGGAGAATAAAGATTTTCTCGGTATAAGGTTAAGACAATACTCGAATAGTTAGAGTTGATATTAATGTTTGTTAATGTCAAATTAACGTTTGATCCTAAGACTTATGATTTTGTTGATAGTAATTACTATAACTATTTATACTGCTTATGTTTTTGGGGACTCTATAATATATCGATAAGAAAACATATCTTTTTTTAGCTACGTGGAATGAGATGGCTGAAGCTGTACAACATATTTTCACGTAGTTTTATTGGGTCGCAAATGTTGTCGGAGTTAAGTTTATTAGTCTTGCCCCGACATAAATATTGGCGAGGAATATACTACAAACATTCTTAGTAGCAGTATTTACAACAGTACACGTGAAATTAGGAATTGAATATATGTAGTAAAAAAAACTCGCTAAATAGGAATTTGTTACCTAGGTTACATTATTATGTATATGTACGCACCCTTATATACCTTATCAAAACAAATTAACAGATATTGCTTTTAAACCGTATTATATAAATAATGTGCAGATAATTTTATTATAATCCATTTGCACAATTAAAATTGAGTGCTGCCGTGGTTTCGTACAGCGTGGCTGACGACTCATAGCTGCCAGCTTACGTCAGAGGCCGCCGCACACCGCACTCGCCTGTTTGATAATCTCTGAGTGACACTCGACGCTAGGCCTTGTTAATTTTTACATTGGGGCGCAGTTTTAGTATAGTTTTGATTTTTCTAAGTTATATTTCTAAAATTTAAATTTAATTACATTACATTAGAAACCGTCCAATATCCGATGATTAAAACGGTTATCGGTTATGATCCATTGAACACCATTTAACTGCCTTTAAACAATGCAATGTCGGTTATAACGAATATCGGTTATTAGAACTGAATATGTGGGGTCCCTTCTATGCTTTGTAACCAGTTTTGACTGAAATTTTAAACTTCCATAAAGGGCCTTTTTATTGTTAAGGCCTCTACGGTGCTACGGAGCGTAGCCTTCGGTCTACGGTCCCACTGTTACAAACTCGACACTTTTTTTATTTCTTAGTATATTAGATATATATTTTTTAATAACAACAGGAAGGTTTAAGTGATGCAGACTTGAATAAGCATTCAAAGCTTAAGTTATTTGTTAGAGGAGCTTTACTTCTAAACTTTCTTTACACTGTCAAATGTTTATGATAAAGAAGTACTATTTGAATATTGAATAACTTGATATGCGAGTGGTTAAAAGCTGGAAAGGAATGCAATTAACTTTAGCATAGGCCTACAAAGACTAATACTGAATACATCGGTGAGCATAAATGTCATTCAATATAACATTATTTCACCATATTCCTTTCAAACACAACATCTTCCTATTTATATAAATTGATAATAAAAAGAAATATTCTTCTAGATGTGCTAACAATTGAGAAGAAAATAGAAGAATTAAATAAATCTAGTTTACTTGTAGTATTATTTTATGTTTTAAAAAATGTAAGAATTTTTTATTTTTTAAATACATTTCTCTGAGAGCTCTTCTTGTTTTATAAATATCGTGTTTTTATATGGTGGCTTCAAGTCGGAGCTACTCAATACAAGTTGTATTTAGCGTATTCTAAAATGCAAATCTCTGAGCGCTTTAATAAATTATGAGTTATAAAAATAATTGCATTCATTTGTAAATCATATATTTCATAGACATTAAAATACGTAACTCATTAACTATAATTTCTCTGTATACATTTTTGTTTTTTTATTAATTGTGTTAATATAACACGCCACGTCCTCATCCAGTCGTTTATTTTCCTTATCAGTTAATCTCGAGTTGACCTCGAAGGTAAATGAACAACTAGCACGATTTAAGTAAGATAAAAGGGTCAAACGGCTTAATGTATGTTCGGAAGTGGCTCTCGAAAATAAATGTTCCTTAGCGAAGTCGCTCGGTGCGGCGGCAGCGACCTATACAATTTGCTGACCACGAGCTTG